AGGGGAGGAGTTGATTTTTGACGAAAACCGTAGTATTTAGCGAGGATTTTAAATTCATGTGGTATATTATGACTGAGATGAAAAGCGCGAGCAACTGAAGCGACGGTTTGCGCATTTGGCCAAAAAAGCCTTATAAAAAGGAGACAGCCAGTTTCTCTGTCGTCACATTCTGTAATGCGCGGAGGGCGGAAGGAGGGCCTGCGCGGCTGTAGGAAATGCTCTTGTGAGGCCGTGGGGGAGGGGTGGGGGGCTCCACCAAATCAATAAACAATGCTTTACTTTTAAAAAAATGCAAGGAACTCACAGAACAAAACAGGCCGATAAGCGTGGAAAATCCGGCAGCAGCTCCAAGCTGCCAATGCACAATTATTTAGCACAGAATAACAATCATCACTTCATTTCTAATCACATCATTACATATCACGGAGGGGGGAACTCGAGTCAGGAGGCGCGACATTTGCATATCGTATGGAATCGAAGGGCAACTGGGCAGGGCGAAAGGGTTTAGCCGACAGCTTCGTTTCTTTGCTGTTAACACCTCGTTCCTTTTGCAACAATCCTCTTTCTCTCCATACCTCCTCATCTTCTGTACTCCTTGTCTCGCCTCGTACCTTTCAAATGTTCTCCCCATTACAGTCCGGAGAACTTAGTTACACGAGCACATGGTGGATAGGAGGCTGTACTGTTGTTTCAAATTCCTATTTACACATGGTTTTCCGTTTATATCTATGGATAGGGTATGAAATACGAACTGCACTAGATTGTCTCGATTTTCCCGATTCTGTAATCTTGTTGGGCTGGGGTCGTGAAGGTCTCGTCCGCTAGTTCGGTGCTCCGGAGTCTCCTTGGATCGTTGGCTGGGTCGTCGATTCCTTGGTGATCCTTCACGCTAGGAAGGTCCGCGTCCTTCATTGGTAGTCGAAGCTGCCAGCACAACACGTTTTAACACAGAAACATCGGCCTTATATAGGCAACTTCTCGCCGTCATACATGCCCTACCTAGAAGGGAGTCATGGTGCAAAAATGAATAAACTTGATTTTTTTTAAGTGTTGTTGTTCAGGAGCGCGAACATCGAGGCATTTTGAGGTCCGAGGTACGGCGTCTCATTTCAAAGGATCGCTTGGTTATTTGTGATTCGCTGAATTATATCAAAGGTTTTTTTATTATTTTTTTTTTTCACACAGTTATTTCTTTAAAAAAATATTAGTTTCTGTATTAGCCTTCAAAAAATCACAATCTTTCGGAATTTTACATAAATTTTCAGGTTTCAGATATGAATTATTTTGCATAGCAAAGGAAGCACAAACTACATATGCTGTTTTGTATTGTGATGCAAATGAGGACACTTGCCAATGGCTTAATATGCAGAAGGATGAAACCGAAAGGTGGATTTTTCTTTTTCTTCAGCATCTTTTCTTGAAAAAGCTATGATGCAAATTTGGCGCAATCGTAATTAGCTTTGTTCTGTTGCTGAAAATTGAGGGTTCGATTACGTGGTGGATCACCCTGTGATTCCTTTATTTCGATGGTAAACTGGTACTGGCATGTGCCCGGAGAATTGAACGATACAAGTGTGGCACTTTGTTCTAATCCTGGGGGTTTTGGGTTCGACTATGTAGCCGGTCGCTCTAAGATTCCTTCATTCGTTTCGATGGTAAATTAGTATTGGCATATGCTGTGGGTGGTAGGGGTG